TACATTTCTACAGTGCCCAATAACAGAAACTTTCTGTTTCTGCAGTATTTGATTATAACACAAACAGTGTATGTAATTTAACCATTTGTTGATTAAACAAATTTGAAACATACATTCTAATAAATTAAATACCAGAGAAATATTAAAACTCAGGAAATCATATCAAAACCCTCTTAGAAAAAACACAAAGGGTGTGAATGACCTTTAAAACAGCCAGTGCTCAAGCACTATGTACAGTGTCTTTTATTGCCTGATAACATTGCTCAGTGCCGTTTATTTTACTGAGTACTGTCTTCTAGAATGATTTATTTTAAAGAAACTCTATGACCCTGATAAAGAGTTTCCTTGAAATGCGTGGAACCAAATCCACCACTGCAGCTGCTCTTCTGTTTGCTTTTCTCTGACTGATTGACACTCTCCCTGCCCCCTCAGGACTCAATGTAGAAACAAAACAAATATAGACCAAAAAAAGAAAAAATACAGGGAGTCTAATTCATGAGGATGTGCATCTAGGCTTGTTTAAAAGTAGTTTTTCTAAGGCAAGCCGTAAGATCTCATAAAATAGCTCTAATCTAGCTGCCTTGCTAATTCTTCAATCATAAACACACTTACTTAGGCATAGGTCTCAACAAATACACTGAGACTTCTGAGTAAACATACTTAAGGTTATAGTATAACGCACTAGGAATTAAACACCCTCAAAAATGCAAACCTTTTGTTATACCAAATATTTGATCTTATGGCTTGCATAGGGCCATTTCTTCCCTATCTCTCTTTTTGGGGTCAAGAATGACCTGTACTCAGTCCCAGAACCTGTTTCCAAATGAAGTGTCTGCCCCTAGGAAAAGTTTAGCTGTCGTAAGTGAAAACTTGTTCTGTAAGCAAAGCCCTACCTACTAGCTTGCTGGCTGTGGGAGGCTGGGAATTATAGGACCCCCGCCCCCCCGCCACAGTGCACCAAACCAAACCAAACCAAACCAAACCCTAGGACGGTGCCTTAAGAAAGCTATCCTATGCATGTTTTGAAAGAAAACGACATCTAATCGTTTTCAGAACGCAGGATGAAGCGTCCTGACAATCTTAGTACCTCTTTCCTTCTAGACATGCAAAGGATTACGCCCACAGAGTTCATTCCTATGCAGGGACGGGGCCAAAAAAGTCCTACAGTTCCTAGCATGCGCCTGCTAACACGGCCGCCCGGAGGGGTTCCGGGACCTGCAGCCATCTTTCCCCCTCTTTAAACACGCGCTTTCGCAAACCCCCTCCCTCCCCGCCCCTCCCCTCCGCGACACCAGCGTCAGATCCTAGGCGCGCTTCCTCGGAATCATGGGAACCCCTTCAAGCATGGGAAGCCGTGCAGCTTCCTCGGGCAAAGCCAGTGGCTCCCCCGGGCATCTTCATCTGAGGGATGCAGGGCTCTGCCGGGCGGAACCAGCCGTTCCGCGCCTTCTGACTCGCCGCGCCGCCGTGAAAGCCCCGGAGCCGCAGGCGGCGGCCCGGGCGCGGCGGACGCGTGCGCTCGCCTCCGGCTACCTGTGGACGCGCCGGGCTCGCCCCGCCCCGCCCGCGGCTCCCTCCGCTCGGCTCCCGGGCGCTGCCCCCACCCACAGGATGCCGGCGAGGGCGGGCCTCGGGCGCTGGAGCACTTAGGCGAGCGGAGCAGCCCGCCCCAGCAGGCACGCCGAGCAGAACCTCGCGGCGCACGGAGGGCTCTCCCAGGTAACGGAGGGCCGGGCCGGGCCGGGCCGGGCCGGGCGGCTGGGCGTGCGGGTGGGGAGGCGAGGCGATGGAGGCGCCAAAACAGATCCGTCGGCCGCCGATCCGTCCTCGCGTGCCGGGGGCTTGGCTGGTGAATCGTTGCGTCTCCATCGTAGCCGCAGGCGGACCTGCTGGGAAGTCGTTGCGGGGGAAACGGGAGATTAGTTCGTAAGGAAAGGAATCGGTGCCACGCGGTTGGGCTTTTTGATTCGCTTCCTCTCTTCTTCTCTAGGCGCCTTGTCGCTCCGCATCTGATCGCCTTGCTACCGCTTGCGCTGGTATCGTCCTTTCTTCCCCTTGCAAGGAGTCCAAGGCAGCCCCCAGAGTTCTTGCGATAACCCTGTGCGAGAGATTGGACTGGGAAGTTGGACCGGAGTCACCCAATGGCTTCATGGGTGACCGGGGACTAAATTGGGATCTCTTGAGCCCCACTCTGGCAGTCTTAATCACTACGCAACACTGGCTGTCACAGTCGTAGTAGCTCTTTCCAAGCTTTTTTCTCCGATGTTGTGCAGCACAAGTGAGTCAACAATGGCCGCAAAACGGACAAATGCTGCTTTAGGCTGCATTAATCAAAGATCACTTCCAAATCGCATGATGTATTAATTCCCCTTTCCTCAGCACTGGTTAGACCTCATCTGTAGTTCTGTGTCCATTTCTGGACACCACAGTTTAAGAAGATGCAGACAAGCTGAAAAGGGTTCAGAGGGGAACAGCAAGGGCGCTGGAAACAGAGCCGTATGAGGGGAGGCTGAAAAATGTGGGCATGTTTAGCCTTGAGAAAATAAGATTGAAGGGAGAAATGGTAGTACTCTGGAAGTACTTGAAAGGCTGTTACAGAGAGGAGGCACAGAATCGTTTCTTAATCAATCCAGAGTGCAGGACACAGAACAACAGGCTGAAGTTACAGGAAGCCAAATGCTGGCTTGGTATGAGGAAACGTTCCCTGACTGTTAAGAGCAGTGCGACAGCGGAACCAATTATCTAGGGAGGTTGTGGGCTCTCCCACACTAGAGGCATACAAGATGCAACTGGACAGCCATCTGAGAGGGATGGTTTACTGAAGCAGGAGGTTGGACCCAATGGCCTTATAGACCCCTTCCAACTCTAATATTCTTTAACTTGTAGACTAGTTTTTTACTTTCTGGAATTGTATGCAAATTTAGTCATAGAAAAATATGAAATGCAAAACACCAACTGAAAATTCATTCCCCACCCCCCACCAGGCTAAAATATGCATGGGGGAATTGCACAGTTTTGGAAGTGCAAATCTGTGCATGTATAAACAAGCACAAATTTGGGAGCTGGGCAGAACACTGATTCTGTCAATGGACTGATGAAGAAACAAATGGCATTCGACAATCTGCAGAAAGCACAATCCAGACATCCCTAGTTGGAGCTGCCAGATACGCAAGAGGAAAGCCAAGATTTAGACCTCCTTACCTAATCTACTTTGCCGTACTCTTGCTTTCATAAGCTCCTGTTTGTTTATTCCCAGCTCACAATTTATTTATTATTTTTATTGTGTGCTACAAAACAAAACTAGACTATGTCTTGAAGAAATAAAGTTAGACATGATTTATGTTTGTCTATTTCTTTCATTATTAGATTGCATGCACTATATACCAGAGTGCAAGACACAAAATAATCTCAAATTGCAACAAACCAGATTCAGGAAATGTTTTCTCACTGTTAGAGCAATATGACAGTGGAACCAGCTGCCTGAAGAGGTTGTGAGTTCTCTCACACTAGAGGCATTAAAACAACAACAAGAACTGGACAGCCATCTGAGTGGGATGGTGTAACTTGGTGTCCTGCAACAGCAGGGGTTTGGACTTGATGGCCTTCATGGCCCCTTCCAACTCTACTCTTCTATGATTGCTAACTACCCCTTTGATCTTTTAAATTAGTTAACAGGAAGAATAATTCTATGGAGATATGCATGAGAGGAACAGAGAAAGAAAGCAGTCCACCAGAAGGGTGACTTTTTGGAAAGTCCTCTTGGTTCCAAAGGGAGGGTGAATACCAGCTCCAGAATCATTCCAAATATGTCTTTAGGTACGCAACATGGTTTTAGTGGATACAGTTGCACCTCTCGACATATTGGTTAATACTCACCAAGGTGCTCTACTTCACTTTTTAAAAAAGTTAGTGGCCATGGCAGCAGAAAACCCTGCTGTCATCAAGGGTAGATTTCAATAGCCCAATCTCCTTCTTTGCTAATGAAGAGCAAGTCTGCAAAACCCAGTAACCACTGGGATGCTCAAGCTGCATAATCTTGCCATATTGATGTCTGGAGCCTAAGTGATCCTTTATATCAGCTCAGAATCAGAACATCTGATAGTAAACTAAAATAATTCACCAGCTGTAAAAGCAAAATGGAAGAAAACTCAACCAGACAAACCAGGAGAAAAGGTTCAATTGATAGTTTAAAAACAATTGGAAGCTTAAGCAGAATTCTACTTGGTTTTATTTTGACCAACCTTCTAAATGCTCCCAAGGAGTTGGTCAACCTGGTCTTCCAGGCAAGCAGATTCCATAATCTGGGTGCCACTGGAGAAATAACTTTGTCTTAAATTCCTGCCCTGTGCAGACTGGTTTTGCAGGAAAACTTCAGAGGGATATGAAAACAGAGTCTGTTTTAGATGTAAAGGAGAAGTGAGTAGAGGAGAATGAAGAACAAAGGACAGGGGAGATAGACGAAAGGGAAGAGGAAATAAAAAATCAAGGTGAAAGGGAAGAGGAAATAGAAAATCAAGGTGTTTCTGCAACCAGGGGAAACTAGAACTTTTCTGAAGAGCAGCCAGGAGAAATGAGTGTGACATATCCAAGGGTAATGGCAGAACCACTAAACAACCACACAATATAAGCTGTTGACTCTATGAAGGGGAAAAAGCACTCTGAGGGCTTGCTTTTGAGATACTGTTTATTTGGAAGGGGAGGGTATTAATTAATTCTAATTGCCTGGAATCAACTTTCAATCTGGTAATGTTGCACTGCTGAACTGATCCAGTACATTTCTAACACACCTTGTTTGTTTTGTCCTTGATCTCTGCAAACTTCCCAATTTGTCATATAAAGCCTGCTTCACTTGTTTTCAGTTTGCATAATAAAAGTTAGTTTATTAGGGAAAAAAAGAGCACTTGGACAAACCCTCCTTAGTATTTCAGAGGGTATTTATTTATTTATTTATTTAAAGTATTTATATTCCATCCTGTAGCGAAAGCTTCAGAATGGGTAGATCTGTCATGAGGAACTTCCAGCCCACGAGTCAAACATGGCCTCATCTGGCCTCTTCTCATGCGGGAGGTTTTATTTCCTACCAGCAGCAGAAATTGTGGGACAACATTCAAAAAGAAACTAGACAGTCATCTGTGTGAGATGGTGTAAATTCATGACCTGCAACAGCAGGTGGTTGGACCTGATGGCCTTCCTGGCCCCTTTCAGCTCTACTATTTTATGATTCTAGGAGTGAAAGTGAGACTTTTTCTTCTCCCAGAGGGAAGCCTGTCTCATCCCTGCAAGGAGCAAGGATCAGCTGGGTTGAATGCTACCCATCTCAGCTGATGCCTCCACTGACCCCCTCCTAAGCAAGCAGGAGCGGTGACAGCTGGCTTGTCAGTGGTGCCTACCTGGGGACTGCACTGTTCAGCTGATCCCCTGCTTAACCCCTTTTCTCACTTTCATGTACCAGAGAGGCTTCCTCAACATGACACCCACCTGTGTGCCTTTCTGGCAAGCAGCAGTGACAAGGAGGAGGTAGCACTTGCCCTGTGTTCTCATTCTGGCCATCCAGAGGGGCAACCCCAACCCAGTGCCCATGTTGCAAAAATGTGTGAGTGAGAATGGGGGGCTCAACTAAGCAGGGCAGCCTACAACGGGTCCCCCATTCAGCTGATTCTTGCCTCTCCCTCTCATGCATGAGAGGAGCAGAGGGTAGTGAGCTGAGCAGTGCTACCCCCGCCTGGGCACCTCCACCCAGCTCACCCCTCCCAGTCACATGTGAGTGTGGGGCTTTTCCCAGGCAGGGGAAATCCATGGACTGGAGTGCTCTTTTCTGTAGCACCATCAAACTGGGACTGCTTGGCCACCACAGTGAACAGAACTTGGCTCACCATCATGACTAAGAGGGCAGCCTCATTCCTCCCCAGGTGCATCCTGGGATCCTGCCTGGAGGACTGAGGTGGAAGGAGATGATGCGAGGGAGGAGGGTTATGAAGATGACCCTGATCATCTTTCAGGAACATCAAGGTGTAACCCATGGACCATGGTAAGCATGCAGGGTCGCTTGTCTTGACATGTGAACCCAGGGTCTCCATGAGGTTTGAAGACTGAATGGGAGCTTTTCCCTTCTTCGGTGCCAATCAAGTTCCGAGCAGCTCAAATGAAAGGTTAAGATCAGCTGCTGAATCTTGAGTTCCCTTATTTGTTTGGGTGAAACTGCTCCAAGTGGCATGAGGCTACAGCACTGCTTTCAGGAGTGCAGTTGAGTATCGTTCTGTCCAAGCCTTACAAGGGAAAATTTCTGTCTGACTAAAGAGGAAAACTCCCTGCAATAATGCACTGGCCGGAGAGTTTTCCTGTCCTCTAGAGGATCTAGAGTCCGTTTTGGAAAACAGAAGTGAATTCCAGTGAAAGTGTTTATATATAGTTTGGACTTGGATAAACGTTATGGCAGGAAAATTCGTTGCAATCTCTGCATTGCAAAGCATTTTTAAAAATGTATTCCCATGTGTCATGTCTGGCTAATACATTGTAGCACTTGTGGGAACTGTAAACATCCCTGGGTACAGTTTCATTGACTAAGGGTGCATTTCTATGCATATGCTCAGAGTTCTAGTATTTTTTTTCTGTCTAAACATGTGCAGGATTGTACCCTAAACTAACAATATATTAATATTTTTATTTAATAATTAAATATTATTAAAGAATACCTTTTTCTCAGATATTTCCTGGAGGCCTAAATGTATCTCTTATCTAGAGTGGACAGTATCCCTGCCATCACTTGTCACAGTTTAATTCAGATATAGTTTTCAGCATCTAATTTTGTTTCTTGTGTTTCCTGTACAGAAATATTAGTTTTTCTTTTGAATTGTACAATTGCATCCACTTGATAAGTTGAGGGGAAGGTAGGGAACAACAACAACTGAAGATCTCCACTGTATACACTGTAAACAGTGTGATTATAAAAGAATTATTGAGCATGCAGAAGAATAAATCTGGTTGAAGTTTCTGCAAAGCTAACTTCTTAGTTAACTTTCCTAGCTAATTTCTTGGAGTTCTCTGAGCATATAGTCAAGTATGTCGATAGAACTGATTTCATATATATTATATAAGTCAGCATCCAAAACTTTTGAGAAGAGTGCCCTTAAGATATTAGAAAAATACATGGCAATAGGAACACCAGTGACCTGTACTCACTGGCCCCAAACCCGACATTGTCTCCCTTGCTGATTCTGTACTCCTGTGGATGAGGAAGGGAGGATATGTGAATAAAAGTGAACTGACAGTGAATGATCAGAAAAGACATCTTGGCAAATAGCTCAACGGAAACATTTATTTATTTATTTATGACATTTCTATGCCGCACCCATCACCGAAGCCTCGGGGTGACTGCATTTGCACATAACTATGTGCTTACCATTATATGAATTAACTGGTTTATTTTGGTTTACTGTGAACAAGCAGAATAATGGCTCACATAGCTCTCCGTTGGGCAAGCAGGTAACACTAAGCAGGAGGCGGTAATCTATCATGGTCCCGGGAAACTAATGAGGGAAGCATTACCATCATTAGACCCAGTTGGAATCTAGGTTCATGACTTGTCACTCCCAAACAAACCAGGCTGATCAACCAACCAAAGCCGGTTGTTTACAACCTTGATTCTTTGGGAGTTGGGTTTGGACATCACATTAAGGTAATGCTTCCTGGATCATGAAGAGAGAAGTGGAATGAATAGTTCAGGCACACCAGATTGCTGCTTTTTAACAGTAAAGAGGCATAATTCAGGCCTCCTGGTTGAGCAGTATGTGCAACCAGGTGGCCTGGAAAATATTGGGAAATGGGGTGAAATATTGGGCAAGGGGCTTGATATACATCTGTGGTTCAGTTGCATTCTGAATATACCATCTAGTTCTGGTTTTCTTAACTCAAAAAGCAGAAAAAGGGGAACTAGAGGTTGGAATAACTTTTTCCCGAAAAAGGACATCAATTGAGGCATTCTAGTTCAGATAATAGTATGTTTTTTAAGGAAAGGATGATATAGTATTTAGGGGGAAGGTAAAAACTAGCAACAATGCAAAGTTTTTAAAACACAGTAAAGAATTTAAAACAAGAGAAACTGATGAACTAAAATTCCCAGGAAAATAGAAAGGCTGGCACCAGAAATGACACAATGTAGGTACCAGGAGAATTTCTTTGGGAGTCAGCGTGGTGTGGTGCACGGGACTGGGACTCAGGCGAACTGGGTTCTAGTCACCAGTCAAACTGATTGGCTTACTTTGAGCCAGCCAGACTCTCAGCCCAACCTACCTCACAGGGTTGTTGTTGTGGGGATAATATTAAGAGTTGCAGGGGGAGCATAATGTAACCCACTTTGAGTTCTTTGTAGAGAGAAAAGTGGGATAGGAATATAAATAAATAAGGCTGCTACAACTGAAAAGTCTCACTTCTTAGCAGTCACTTAATAGTGCTGTATGATAAGTGATTAAAGGGAACTTTCTCTACTGTTATTGAAAGGGAGGAATGGATATTTCTTAGCGATGTAAGCCGCCCCGAGGCTTCGGCGAATGGGGCGGCATAAAAATGTTTTAAATAAATAAATAAATATTTATTAACTTTTTCTCTTTGGTGAATTGAAAATGAGTAGGTGGTATGATCATTTTTAAAACCATTTCTTTCTCTCCCCAGAAGCAATTGGACACAGGCTCATAAAAAATGGCATGTGAGTAATATCTTTTTTCTGTCTTTACTATCATAGATGCCTTCTCCACTGGGTGCTTTCCAGATGTGTTGCCCTACAGGTTTCATTATGCCCATTCAGCATGTAGTTGGGGGAAATGAAACTGTCTTTTCCCGGTTAAAATACTGCTTTACATGTGTAAGTTCTGTTTTCTACATAAATGCAAAGGACAGAGGTTTGAAACATTTATGATGGCAGTAGCAGCATTCATCTTGTGAATATAGTATAAAGGTTTGAGAAGTGTGCTGTCACTGCAGATAGTGAACAGATTAAAAGTTTACACATGTTTGAACTGTGTTTCTGCCCTCCCAGCAAATAAACTTGAATCTGTACCACCGGCTCCTGGATACCCTGGGTCTGGATATCCTGGGCAACAGGCACAGTATGGCTACCCTCAGTATGCACCTGGCCCAGTTCAGTATGCTCCCGGACCAGGTGCCCTAGGTAAGTATTCATAGGAATGCAAACTTTCCAGTATGACTTGTGATAAGAATGTTCATTTCACATAATGCTGTTCTGCGATTGTCTGTGTTTGTGTGTGTGTGTTTGTGTGTATGCGTGTGTGTAAGAGAGAGAGAGAGAGATTGATTATCCATGGTTAGCAAATATCTTCAGTAGAATGACCTGCAATTGCAAAGCCTTCCCTTTTTAAGCAAAAGCTTCATGTACAATAATTAGTCTAATTATGGCTTTGCCATACTTTTGAATTAAAACTGGTAAGAAATCCATTTGGATGAGTTCTTCATGCATTTGAAGTATATATTAAGAAATGGAAAAACGTTTCTCTTGAAAGACAGAAAGAGAGACAATCTGTATTTTCCTAGTCCATATGTGCACTGCCGTTGTCCCCGATCTAGTGCCTTCTACCTGTGTTGAATTTCAGCTCCGATCTGCCCCAGCCAGAAATCATGGTTCAGATTTCTGGGAGTTACATTCAGTCCAGAACAACTGGAGAGTAAGAGCCTGAGGAAGGCTGGTTCACTCTTACATAAACTGCCCACTCGCAGCAGATTATTAACCTTGTGTTTAAAATCTGTAGACAGGGTCTTCGATAATGCTCTGTATTCATTGATCTGCATCTTTCCAGGGTTGGCCCAAATTATTTGGGTGCCTAAGGCAGAACAGACAAGATGTTGTGACTGCGCAGCTGCCACTGCATCGCTCTCCCCTGTGGGGCGTACCCAGCAGTGCTGGTGCTTTGAGAGGAGAACAAGGCAGCTGCCCATTGCTGGTTGGTTACCATTGTATATTTCGGAGTCTGGTTACCAGCAATAGTCCATATATGACTCCTGTGTCCTCCTGTGTCTTGTTATTATCCTATCAGGTAGTTACTCTGAGCAATGGTGAGAGTGTTAATGGAGAAATAACAAGTGGCACGCATCCTTGTTAGCCCACTGGGAAGCAACCAAACACCTGGTACCTAAGCAGTTACTTCAGATCTCTCTCTGGCATTTTCATCTTTTAATCAAGCAGTGCTTAGGACCCAGTCCAGATTTCAAAAGTCCCATTTCACAAAAGTCCCATTCCAGTCTGGGTCATATACCCTGCAGTTATCCTGCCGAAAAGAAGAGTGGGGAAACAGTGTATGGGGAGAAGACTATCTATACAGAGTTAAAATAAGTGTCTGCAAACTTGCAAGAGGGTAATAGAAATAGCGACAGAAAGAGGATACAAAATGGGGAAATACAAAGGTATAGATCTGTATGATCTTTGGTATTAAATGCTTGTTGACACTGCAGGACCAAGTTGACCTGAAATAGAGATTGATGGGGTTTTGCTTGTTGAGATGCACTTAATGGGTGTGTGGGGGGTTAATATTGTTGTTTGGTCTAAATCTATTGGTCTAAATCTATTGGTTTGGTCTAAGTCTATTGTTTTGTCTAAGTTGGAGGCTGCATCATACAGATAATATGTTATTGACTGTAACTCCACTCATTATGGGCTATGTTGGTTGCAGCTGAAAGGCGGTGCTATCCAATAACATTTGAAGAGCCAAAAATTCTCCCTCCCTCCCTCCCTACCCCCCCCTCAAATACACACACAGAGAGAAACACACACACAGTGTTCTAAGATACTGTTGATGAAATTAACCAAGGATGTAAGATAAGAGTGTGTGTTGTTGGTTTTTTGTTTTTGTTTTGTAGCTGTGCTTCAAATAATTTGTTTAACTTGGATTCCATTTAGTGGACTTAAGAAAATACCCACAAAGAAAAATATAAATAAGTGGTGAAACATCACATCTTCTCACATGCTTTGTATGCATAGAAGAAGGAAAAGTAAATATTGTATAAGGAATTCAGTAGTTAGGCAGATTGAGTTAATTTCTAATACTACTTGAATTCCTTTACTTCATCCAGAAACCTTTACAGACCAGCTTGAATTCACTGAAATGACTGAATTCCCATTAGTTGCACATTTGTGCTGTTTGCTTATCTTCCTCAGTAAGTCTAAAGCTGTTTTTAATCCATGGAAGGTGTCTGAATATATGAGTAGTAGTAATCATGAAGCTATATCTGTTTACCTGTAATGCAATGTTTGTGAAAGGCATTAATCCTACCAGCATGGTATGTAATGCAAGATGGCATTACTCTGAATAATAGTCCTTCAATGTTGATTAATAAATTACAGATACTCAAAAGGATGCATTTATTCCTTGGAACAGGCATTTATTTATTTATTTATTTATTAAAACATTTCTATGCCGCCCCATTCGCCGAAGCCTAGGGGCGGCTCACAACAAGAAATAAAATACAAAAATAACAATATAAAAATAACAATATAAAATAAATAACAATATAAAATAAGTCGCCCTGGCCAGATAAAATAAGCAAATACTGTTAACAATTAAAATGACGCTTAAATAAAAAGGTCTTCGCCTGGTGCCGAAAAACAAATAAGGACAGCGCCAGGTGGACCTCTCTGGGGAGCGCATTCCATAAATTGTGCGCCACCGCAGAGAAAGCCCTCCTCCGAGTACCTACCCTCCTAATTTCTTTCACGGAGGATTCCTGGAGAAGGGCCTCTCCCGCCGATCTCAAGGGGCAGGCGGGCATATATGGATGTAAGCGCTCCTTCAGGTAACCAGGACCCAAGCCGTTTAGGGCTTTATAGGTCATCACCAACACCTTGAATTGGGCCTGGACTTCAATGGGAAGCCAGTGAAGCTGACGGAGGACTGGAGTCATGTGAACATAATGCCCAGTCCCCGTCAGCAGCCTGGCAGCTCTATTCTGAACCAATTGAAGTATCTGGACCGTCTTCAAGGGTAGCCCCACGTAGAGCGCGTTACAGAAGTCCAGACGGGAAGTCACCAGCGCATGTGTCACTGTCACCAGGCAGTCGTACTCCAGGTAGGGGCGCAGCTGATGAATCAGCCGAAGCTGAAGGAAAGCGCTCCTCGCCACCGCTGTCACCTGAGCTTCCAATGAAAGCTCCGGGTCGAGGAGCACTCCCAAGCTGCGGACCTTGTCCCTAAGAGGGAGTGCAACCCCATTCAGGACTAGGTTAAATTCACCCTCTCTGAAGCCCGATCCGCCAACCAACAGGACCTCCGTCTTGTCTGGATTGAGCTTCAGTTTATTGGCCCTCATCCAGCCCATTACCTCAGCCAGGCACCAGTTCAGTACAGCCACTGCCTCACCTGGATTGGTGGAAAACAAGAGGTGGAGCTGGGTATCATCAGTGTACTGATGATTCCGCAGCCCACACCTCCTGATGACCTCTCCCAGCGGTTTCATGTAGATGTTAAACAGCAAAGAGGACAAAGTGGACCCCTACGGTATTTCATGGCATATCTGCCATGGTGCAGAGCCATAGTCCCCGAGCACCACCTTCTGGAATCGGCCGTTGAGATAGGAGCGGAACCACTGCAAAGCAGTGCCTCCGACCCCCAATCCCGCTAGCCTATCCAGAAGGATACCATGGTCGATGGTATCGAAAGCCGCTGAGAGGTCCAGGAGAACCAACAGGGACGCACTCCCCCTGTCCTTCTCCCTGCACAGGTCATCGTACAGGGCGACCAAGGCAGATGCAGTACCGTACCCGGGTCTGAAGCCGGACTGAAATGGGTCTAGATAATCAGTTTCATCCAAGAGTGCTTGGAGTTGTCCCGCCACCACCCGCTCTAACACCTTGCCCAGAAACGGGATGTTGGCCACTGGTCTATAGTTAGTGGCCATCTCTGGATCCAGTGACGCCTTCTTCAGGACCGGTCAGACTACTGCCTCCTTTAAAGGGGCAGGCACCCGACCCTCCCTCAGAGAAGCGTTAACCACTTCCAAGATCCAGATCCCAATCCCGTGCTTGGAATGATTTATTAACCAAGACGGGCAAGGGTCCAATAGGCAAGTTGTGGGACGTACTCGTCCAAGCACCTTGTCCACATCATCGGGCCACAATAACTAAAATTCATCCAATAATTCTGGACAAGACGGCAGCATTGGTGTCTCCCCAGAAACCTCTGATTCACTAGTGGTTTCCAGCTCATGACGAATCTGAGCGATTTTCTCCCTGAAATGCATGACAAAGTCGTCACAGCGGGCCTTTGAGGGTGGAACCCGATCTTCCTTAGGACCTGGACGAACCAGGCCTTGCACCACTCAAAAAAGCTCCACCGGACGGCATTGTGAGGAAGCAATAGAAGCAGAAAAAAACCTCTTTTTCGCCGCCCTCACCACCACAGCATAGGCCCGATAGTGGGCTCTCAAGTGTGTTCGGTCAGATTCATCCCGTGATCTCCTCCACCTATGCTCTAGCCATCTCCCAGCCTGCTTCATCGCCCACAATTCAGGTGTATACCAAGGGAAGAGCGGGCTCTGCCTGGTGGGAGAGGGCGCTTAGGAGCGATCGTGTCCACAGCCCTGGTCATCTCCCCGTTCCACAGTTCGACCAGAGCCTCGACAGGAGCACCAGTCTTGTCAGCCGGAAACTCCCCCAGGGCCTTCAGGAATCCATCCGGATCCATCCGGCTCCGGGGGTGGACCCACACAATTGGGTCCACACCCTTGCAGAGGGAGAGGTCGCTCTCAAGCACAAACCTCACCAGGAAGTGATCTGACCATGACAGGGGAGTCAAGCATAAATTCCTCACCCTCAGACCACCCTCTTCCTGCCCTGTCGAGAAAACCAGGTCCAGAGTGTGTCCACGTTCATGGGTCAGGCCGGTGACATGTTGAGACAGCCCCATGGCCGTCATGGAGGCCATGAAGTCCTGTGCCGCCCCTGTCAGACCAGTCTCGGCATGGAGATTGAAGTCCCCCAGGACCAACATCCTGGGGGTCCTCAACACCAGGTCCGAGACGGTCTCTGTCAGCTCAGGCAGGGAGACTGTTGGGCAGAAGGGTGCACGGTGCACCAACAGAATCCCCAATCTGTCTCAGTCGCCCAACACCAAGTAGAGGCATTCCAACCCTGGTCTCGAAGGGACCGGAAGTCCCGTGAGAGAGATGGAGGCTCGGTAGAACAAAGCGACCCCCCCCTCCCCTTCCCTCCGGGCGTGAACGGTGCTGAACCAGATACCCGGGTGGGCACAGTTGAGAGAGGGCAACATCCCCCCCTCTCCCGCCCAGGTCTCCGTTATGCAAGCCAGGTTGGCCCCCTCATCCACAATCAAGTCATGGATGAGGGAAGATTTATTATTGACCAACCTGGCATTGAGCAGCAGCACTGTCAGGCCCGAGGGGCGGCTGACAAGACTACCTGGCACCCTCTGGCTGGGGGCAAAACCAGAAGGAGGGATAGGTGTCAGCCATCTGTCCCTCCTTCTTCTACGCGGACACATTAAGCCCCCACCGCTGTTACGTCCATTGCCCAAGACCACCCCAATGGCACCCCCCCTCGCTCCCCAGGAAACATAAACGTCAACATGGCCAGGGACAACTCCATAAAAACAGATTAAAATAGAATAAAATTATAAAAACAATTAAAAACTCCCCCTTCCCTAACGTTCCTAACGGCAGGTGGGCCAATTACAACAAAGCCCCTGGCCAGCCCAGCCCCCCGCTCGGCCCCCGAACGGCTCCAAACGGCGGCGACTGCCCTTTGGCCACCGCCCTTCGGCCGCCCGCCCGAGGCTTCCAGCCCCAGCCGCCGCCGGCGCTTTAAGGCCGCAGGGCCCCCCCGAAGCCGCACCCTGTCCCGCACGCCTCTCACCCGTGCGAGGGGGCGGGCCGGGACCGTTCCTGGGTCCTGGCCGGTGCTCCTGGGCCGATGGTGCTGGCCTCCGTAGGGCGGTGCGGCACGGCAGCCAGCGGGCGCGTGCAGCATTTAACAAATATATCTATTAGATCATTTGGACATGCATCTAACAAATCATTTGGACATGCATCTAACAGCATCTAACAAATATATCTATTAGATCATTTGGATTTTAAAAGCCATTGGAGAGGAAGTGCAGAATTGTTTCCCTAACTGCTATTGCATAAATGAGCAGAATGATGGAGGGGTGGTGGGGTTGGCTGTATGTTGAAGATGTGGTGAGGCAAAACTGCTGAACAGGCAGGGCTGAAAGGCTGTATCCAAGGGAAAGAGCACATGTCTTGCACATAGGAGGTCCCATGACCAGTCTCTGGCATCTCCAGGCAGGACTCTGAAACCTCTAGTGGTCAGTGGGCAGCTTTGGGCAAGGTTCCAGTCCTGGGATGGCTCTACAGCTACCCTGAATTTAAATTTGCCTGGGTGCCTAGCTGTGCCTTAGCCCCTCAGCCTTCCCACTCATATCCCAGGGGATAGCACAGAAACACTGAAGGGAGAGCAGATGGCCACTGCGGGCACTTTTGGCAGCTGCCAGCTGCTTTGCCATCCTGCCATGTGGCCAGCTCCTTCCTGCTCCTCTGCTGTGAAACCCCCACAGATGAGGAGCAGGATGGGCAGAGCACTGCACCCCTGCTTGGTTCGATGGACTGCTCGGATGAGAGTTCTCTATATCACCCCTATACATATGGAAATTCTTCCACTGCCTTCAACTGTCGCTGTGTTCAGAGATGCTGCAACAAATGAGGACAGTGCATTCGGCTTGGCCTCTTCCAGGGTTTCCCCAGGAGGTGGCCAGACCAAAGGGATTGCCCCAGCACCAGTTGCAACTGCCCCATGACTGTTTCCTGCACAACTCAACAGGGGTGCAGTGCTGGCAGGCAGGATTACCCCCTACCTGGTTACTACTCTAGACAATGCAAAATCAAGTGGCCCCTTCCCCTACCATGTGCTGCCTCTGCAACCCCCAAATGGGTTGAACAAGCTGCAGGTGGCGGAACAGGCAGCAGTTTCCCTGTGTTCCTGATAATGATGTCAGGAGCATGGAGGAAAGCTGATGGCAGCTGTACAAAGTGCTGTCTGGGCACTATGCTGTCTGTCAGTGGTTACAGCCTCTTGGCCAGAGTGGAAACCCTTTTCTGCTGCTCTTGCCAAGGGGATCTATAGGCTTTTTGCTTGACAGGGGCTCAGGCTGTCATCAAGGCTTGGAGGACACAACGCGGGGGTTTAATAATCCTACTAAAAGCCATGGCTTCTTGGGTGATTTATAAGCTACCCCAGTGTGGCTCCTACCTCTTTTGAAAGCACAGGGTGTTCACACAACCAGCTAAGATATCTTCCCCACCAGCAGGAGCATGTCATGTTAACCCAGACAGTGTATACTGGATATGGATGTGCCATATACCAGGGGAGACCATTTGGCCTTCCAGATGTTGCTGTGGACATAGAAGATGACCGTTGACCTGTCGCAGGCAGCCAGGCTGAGACAACACATCTCTAAAGACGCAGGGGAATCACCAGCTCAGGATGGGTGGAATCTGATCTCAGGCCAGTGCGAGCCCTAAAGCTGCAGTGCTTGGGCCTGGGAAAGTCCCTGCCACTGATTATGTCATACCGGAAGGGAAACCACTCTGCCTAGATGCTGACAGCTGTGCTGCATCTTACCAGAGGATACTTAGGTGTGTTGCTCAATATGGATCTAGTTCATGGCTTGATGTTGGTGGTCCTTGATGGTTTCCTCAATTGATCTGTAATGTGACAAAATATAAAACATGGAGACGTAAAGGGCTAATGAATATTATATACAGTAGACTTATTTCCTCTGCATAACTTGTCATAACTTTACTTCTGAGTAAGCATGCATAGGATTCATTGCAAGAATTCAATACACAAGGCTGCTTCCCATTAATTCATTGCGAACAAACAAACAAACGGCACTTTGTCAGGGCGAAAGCTCTGCCCTAAGAATGGCTTTAGACTTAAGGTGGGATTCTGGATCTGATCAGGACCCTAAGCTGGAAGTCTTGCTTTCCACATACATCTTAAGTAGGCTAATATGCCTTTAGAAAACTACTTACATGATTTCCCACCTCCTCCAAACTGTGCATGTAACTGATAGGTTATAAAAGCGTCCTGCACAGACTTCTTCTTGATGGCCCCTTCAGAGTCTACCTACATGTATGTGTGCATAAACTGTAAATGATTGTACCCTGCCAGTGGACTCTCTCTGGTTTTTCTTGCCTACTTCAAACAGTGCAATTTGCTTCCTTAACTCTTATAATGAAAAGAAGGTTATGGCTGAAGTGTTCCTGAAATGCATACACTAAATCTAAACGCTAAACATCTTTTTCTTTTCTTTTTGTCTTCTGAAGTTGCTCCTGGACAGCCTCCCTATGCATATCAAGGCTACCCAGGAACCTATGGGGCTCCCCCAGTCCATGGTCAGCCTAACGCAGCTCCTGGTATCATGTGGATGCCAGCCCCACCTCCGGTTCCCAACTGCCCTCCTGGATTGGAATATTTAAGCCAGGTTTCTCTCTCTTTATGCTCATTATGCTAATAGAAGGCTTTCATACAAATTTATTAAATAAATACATAAAATTGTTCACCTACATGATAATTAGAAAGCATAGAATACTTCATTGTCTTGGCTGCAATGGGTTTTATACCCTTCAGGCTTTGATAGAATCAGCCCCATATTCTATCAAATCAGCCGCATAGACAGCAGAGAAACATTCAAGAACCATTTAATAAGCATTGAGATGCTGCTAATGCTGAAATGCATGTCCTAAAGTTTACTCAGTTACATTTCTCTGACGGACTAATTATAGTTGCTGTTATTATGTCTCACCCAAATTAGCAATATTTAGGAAAGGCTTCCATGAATCAGTCATATTTGGAGTCAAGTTTGGATAATAGAAGGAGAGTGTTTCTTCTGATAGTTCATGGTGAGGAAGCTGGCTGTAATAACACTGACAGATGGCTGGAAGTGGTTGTTTGTGTGTGTCATCAGAACTGATGATAGTTACAGTCTTTTATGTAGAGGTGCCTGTATGAACTAGACCAGAATTCCACTTCACAGCAAGTTTCCGTAACTACATTTGTGAAATTCACTCTTAGCACAACTGAACTTACTTCAGTATTGAATTAAGACTGTCCAAGTGTAGCTGTTGACACATTTACGAGAAAGTAAATTCCATAGATTTTTTTCCCGTTGATGTTACTCTTAAATACTTAAGTTGAGGATTGGGATGGATACTTACAGAGCAGTTTCCCATTTTAATGAATCATATAAAGATAACTGTGTGATATATATTTTTTACAATGCAGTTCTAGCATTTGATTTTTATTCTTTTTAAACTCCTATTGCAGATTGATCAGATATTAATTCATCAACAGATTGAACTTCTAGAAGGTATTTTATTATGCTACTTGATATTATTAGTGCATTAAAATTTATTTAAAATCATTTAAAGTTTTGTTTTTAGCATGCTTCCTAATAGGTACATACAGGTCATAACCAAAAAAAATGTATCATATTTTTCTGAATATAAGTTGCCCCCATGTATAGGATGCCCCCCACATTTTACCGATCTCCAAGCAAGCAAGCTGCTGCTGCACGTGCCTGCTGCCTCCCTGCCTGCCCGCACCTGTCTCCCTCCTGATTGCACCCGCCCCCACTTCCCCACCGATCACGCCCATTCCTGCCTCCCCCGCAGGACGCCCGTGCCCGCCTCCCCCAGCATGCCCGCAGTTCTCCTCTCAGCCCCCCATGTATAAGACACCCCTGCATTTTTATGTAAATATTTTAAAGAAAAAGTATAATCTTATACATGGAAAAATATGGTATGTATGCATGTAAGTATGTAATCAAATTACCCTGGTTCATACATAATGCTAATCCATCTGCGGTTTGTAGAATTCTATGTTGTTGTGATATACTATTACAGCTGCACTAACAAACCATGGTTTGTTTACCACAAACAATCCAGAGTGTTGCCTGGGGTGGTGGGTGGCTTGTATACTCTATGTTGCATGAGGAAACATCCTGTTCTGTACAAGTCCATTTGTCCTTTGCGGCTTTTTTAGTTATAAGCATCCTTTCTCTTCAGTGTTTGCGTATCTTCTCAGTCTTTTGCCCTTTAAAATGTTATTGCCCCCTCCAAAACAAAAACAAACTCTTCTTTGTTGCTCACCTTACTGAATAATATGTTGTTCCCCTGTAGCCCAGTTTTAGAGACATACTTGCATTTACATGGGGAATCTTAGTTGTTGGACCCATTTTCATACAACCTGCTGAACTTGTTCTCAAAACCTACTGTCCAGGGAGCCTAGGCCTTAGATTTTCCATGGAACCAAATGGCACAAATGAAACCCATGCATATGATGCTTCTTTACATATGGCAGGGTATGGAACCCCTTCAGCCCAATGGTTGCACTGAGTTTGGTGGGTCTTGGGAGCAAAATTCCAGTGGTGACTAGGGCTGAAAGCAAAAGGCATAGGGTTAAAATACCCCCAAATGCCAGCATATTTTAGCTTACCACAAGTAAATGAAGGAAAGGCATTTCAACCCTTTGGAATGGGGCAAAGCCAGGAAACAAGCAAGCAATTGGTGATTGGAGGGAAAGGTGGCAGGTGGAGGGGAAATGGAGGTGGCTGTCTGGGGAAGTCCAGAGTGCCAGATTTGGACTGCAAGAGAGTTGGATTTGAGGTTTCCTACCACTAACAGGCAGGCTGTCTTGACATGGCCAGTGAATGCTATCCATGCACCCACCATGTATACTTTCACTGAATGTGAAAAAATGTTCTAACTGAAGCTTTTATATTTCAGTAATAACTGGCTTTGAAACTTGCAACAAATATGAAATAAAGAACAGTTTGGGGCAAAGAGTGTACTTTGCAGCTGAGGTAAATGATTGCTGCACGCTAAACTGTTGTGGGCCTTCGCGGCCATTTACAATGAAAATTGTGGACAACTTGGGCCAAGAAGTCATAGAGCTTATACGACCTCTCAGATGTGCCCATTGCTGCTGCCCTTGCTGCTTACAAGAGGTAAATATCATGCTGTTTCTACCATCTTCCATCAAGGTGTGGTTGTTTTTGTTTTCGGGTTGGGGTTAAGGTTTAGTTTGGTCTTCTTGAAAACTCTCATTTCTTTGATCTTGTGAGATGCCCCTTTGTGAATCTTACATTGTGTCTTTTCAGACATAACATGGCTTTCGACAGTAATTCATGGGTTAATGAACAAGCAGTGGGTTGTTTGTAGGGTGTCGTAATTTGCCAACAACCCCCAGTGGCCAGAACTGGACATCACAGTAGCAACCCTTGAATGTGGCATTTCAGGTGTGTCATTGGAAACAGAAAGGGCATCAAGTGCAGTGAACGAACTTGTCTTCACTGACCCCCAAATCACCACCATTGTTTCTATACAGTTTCACTGGCTTCCCCTGCTTGGGCCTTTTGTTGTGACATACGATCCAGGTAATCTGGATTGCTGAGGGACAATCATTGGTTGTTGGGTTGTACAAACTCTGGGTTGCTTGTACTTCATAACCCAGAGTTCCAGGTTCATACAACACATCAAACAACCTAGCACTTGTTTATGAGCGCAGATGCAAAGCTGAGTGGCAAATGTGCAGAAGGCAGAACCCTGACTTTTGCAGTTTTTTGTGGACATGTTAGAAAAAAAAATACAGCAGAATATTGCTTTCTGACTAAGCTATATCTATTTCCCCCCACAGCTTGAAGTTCATGCCCCACCAGGCAGACCAGTTGGATATATCAAACAGCTCTGGGATCCCTGTCTCCCTAAATTTGCTATCAGAAATGAAGCCCAAGAAGACATATTTAAAATTGTTGGGCCTTGCATAGTCTGTAGCTGCTGTGAAGATATTAATTTTGAGGTAAGGTAACACTAGAACCTTATATTACACTTTCATCAGATTGGTCATGTCCAGTGTCCTGTATAATAAAGAAAAATAACCTGCCTGTTTTCTTTGGTTTCAGCAAATACTTATAATGTTTGTAACTGGTGGGGTTATCAGCTTGGGAAGAAACTGACAACTATTAAATAACTTGGGTTTTATATATTTATGGCCCTGGGTGTGTGGATCTGGAAGGAAGCACACTTTCTTTCTGACCAGAAGTTCATGGGCCACTGGAAGGCTCTGTCCCCTCCCCTGCTTCTCAGGAAGAATATTCATGCATTCAAAATAGGTATAGATCACATCTCATTGTTAAAATCCCCGAATAGTTCACAACTCTTAAAAAAAAACTAAGACAAATTAATGGTTAGAAAAGGCCAGGATAAACAAGTGTTTTGATCACTGCTGAATGCCCATGAGGCCAGGACAGGAGCCATCCTGAGTCGAGTAGCTTTCTTCCCCACCTGTGTGAAGGGCCATTGCTAGAAAGGCTGAAAACTATGCAGTAAAATCCACATGGTGCATTGCATGAGCCGTAACATATGAATTTGGCGACTTCTGATCATCAAGCCCATGATTTATGCCCTTAGAACTGAGAGTTGATGACATCTTGTGTTCTGGTGCAGAAGACCTTGGAATCTCCTGCTGTGCTTCTGCAGTTATGGCCACATTTTAAGATGACAAACACTTTGGTTTTGAAATCAAAATTTCATTTTCTACTAGTTCATAAAGACTTTGTTTCTGTTTCATAATTCTTCAGCATTGAGGTTCTGTAAGTCCATACAACACTTTTTAAGGTAACCAATGCAAGTGGAGAATGTAAGACTGATCTTATGGGATGGACTTCCATTAGACAGAGAGCTTCTATCCCAGAGTGCTCTGTCCATTCTGAATCCTGTTGGGCTGTTTTCAGCAGGACAGGAGGAACAGAAGAGCTTTCAGCCTTTCTTTCCTTCTTGTGCTTTTTTCATTAGATGGGCCACTGAATTCAAGTAGCCCATTCATCTTCCTGAGCCATGTACTAGGGCTAAGAGGCCTTTGGATCCAGCAGATCCATGGCCTTTCCTTTCCCTGCCCACGGCTATGTCTCCGCTCTCCCTTTCTCCTCATTTCCTTCTTGAGGTCAGCTCAGATATCAGGAAAGAAGACAGCAAGGACCTTTTTATGGTGACTGGATTAAGAATCCAGAATCATACATCTACCTCAGGAGAGAAGCATGCTGTGGCCCCTTCAGTACTGAAAGATGCGAAAGGCTGGCTGGGGGATGCTGGAAGTTGCTGTCTAACACAACTCAAGAATACCAAGTTGGAGAAAGTTGCTTTAAGCCTATGCATGTAGGATGTCTTAAAATGCCTTCAGTAACTTTCCCATCACAAGTCTTTCTGTTTTAAAACTAGGTGAAGTCCATAGATGAGAAGAACGTAGTTGGAAGAATTTCTAAGCAGTGGACTGGCTTTGTGAGGGAGGCCTTTACAGATGCTGACAACTTTGGCATCCAGTTTCCAGGAGATCTTGACGTAAAAATGAAAGCTGTTATGCTTGGTGCTTGCTTCCTCATAGTAAGTCTGAAGCAGTTGCTTGTGAAATCTAAATGCCTGATCCTTAGGTTTTATGGGACCCTTTGATCCCCTGGAGATTTTCTGAGTCCTTCTGGCTGATAGGGAGCATGGTCTAAATATCCCAAGTGCCTAGCTGATGACTGAGCATCTGGTTTGCTGACATATGTTAGAGGTACAACAGTTGGTAATATTGCTTTGGCACAAGTCACTGCTTTCACTGCTGCAGCTTCAGCTGATTCATAATATGGAGCTGTCCATCAGCTCTGGGAAGAACAGGAAAATCTCCATTGATTTAAGGATATAGCTAAGGAGAAAATAATGCTGAACTGGATGAAATTCTTAAGTTGATGGGATGTACCATCCCGTCCACTAGGACCTGGTTCACACTTAGCAACAACTTCTGAGTTGTTTAACTTTGTTTCCACCTGCCACTTGACACTTCCACTTTGTTTCCATATTACAAAGCAACCTAGAAGTTTGAACACAGCACTCAGGTTTTTGAGGAAAAAAACCAGCCCAGCATATTGTCCCTTGTGTGTTGTTGGTTTAAAACTCTGTGTTATTAGTGCCTTAACAACCCGTAGTGTTGGGTTCAGACATCTCACTGAAGAATCCTGGAATAGGGTCAGAGCTCCTGGGTAGCTTGCTCAACTAGATGGAAAGCAAACATGGGAAGCATTTGATCATTATGTGCAAACTGGACCTAGCTTGCAGCTGAAAGGTGTAGTGTTGGTTATTACAAAAATGGAAGCAAAATAAACAGAACTTATTCTGCAGTTTTCCATTGGCACTGCAGTAAGTTGGATTGTGTGGGCCCACCCAAAGGCTTTTCCCAAAATAGACTGGATTTTTCAAATATTTTTGTAACACAGAAAATGGGAGAATGTTATGATTTTTGATTGAAGATTTTTTCTAATTACTTCTTTATTACTAATTATTACTTTATTTTTCTTGTATAGGATTTTATGTTTTTTGAACACTCAGGACAAAATCGGCGTCAAGGAATTGGGGTCTGGTAACAGAGCTCACGTCTGCATTATAAATCCTTCAAAGAAAATCATCATACTACTTCTATTCTTGCTTGGAGTGGCTTATACAAAAGATATTTTTGGAACAATGTCTGCTCCCGTCACACTTAGACTGCTGGAAATCTCCCATTTATGGGGAGGCTGCTCTAGGATTAAAGTGGATATTAATTTTACTTTATTATTTGTGATATATTAAATATATATAGGGCTGCCTTAAGTGCCATTTTTCTTGATAGAAAGGCAAATCAAAAGGATCAAAACAAGTCACAGTGCATAAATAAGACAAGATCCTTCCCAAAGCACAGTGCTTGGAGTCAGGTGGCAAGCAGGGAAATGAAAAAGTTTAAGAAATCAAGAACACTGTGCCTTAAAATGCTTGTTTTTTTAATGTAAATACAAAATGAAGCAAACTTAGAAGATAATACTTTTGGAGTTTTAGCATTGTGTTTATGACATGTCTATGTTCAACTATAATGGTCATCTATGTGGGATTTATTTATTCTGTGTTGTCCTGATCCCCATCCCCAAATAAGGGGAACCAAATAAAATGCCAATCACAATTATGTCATTGGTGTGTGATGGAAGGCTTGAATCTCTTTATATTAAAATGATCAACAAAAGGAATTGGGTGGAGGAGTATAAGGCCAATGGAAGCAGAAAATCCCTCTGTCCAGCATTGGATACAATCCACTTTATATCAACTTTTATGAAGTCCAGTCTTCCACCCAGTAGGAAGTACCCTGGCACTATGATGACATCAGACATGGATGAGGGGGAGTAAGACAGAGTCTCAGTTGCTTTTGGGGGAAAAATTATTGTAGTCTGACATGTTTCAGAAAATATGTTTTCTTTCAGGAACCATTTGTCTTTGGCCAAATGTATGAGGAAAGCAACCTTCACCCATTTGCTTAGTATAATCTAACAAAAGACAAGTGTCCTCTGACAAAGGGATTTTTTTTCCCCAAAACAATACATGTTTTCTATAAACACTTTAAAAAGATTGCTGTCTATTCTCTTTTATTGGTTTTTGTTTTGTGCCTTTCCTTCTTGGGTTTCTCCCCACTAAGATTGTGTCAGCACCAGTACTCTGTTGCTGAAGAGTTGACTTAGGGGCTAAAATGCTGGTGGTTTAGCTTTGGATTAGGAACAGAGCTGGACTCTACACTCAGTTCCTCTGTTTTCCTTTACTAACATTTTATTTTGGCATCTCGCTCAGACTTTTCTTCCTTCTTCCTCTGTTTGCAGTCCTCCCTCAGATGTTAATTGAATGAATGCAGTGAACACACACATTTTCTACATATCTTTGTGAGTGTAAACAGCAGCTGTGCAGTAGTTTCCCAACCACATCAGATCTTGGAAGGAGTGAAGAGTTTAATTATCCTCCCTGCCCACCGTCATGGTCTTTAAAATCCGCCACCATCAAAGAAGCTATTTGCACGGTGTGGGTCACCATGGCCCCTTCCCCTGCCAAAGATAGCAGAGAGGATCTTACGTTGCTGAGATACACCAGTAAATTAATAATAGGAGACTACAATGCTTGTTCCAAGGTCATGAACATGAGATTGTCTCCAGGACCACAATGCCCAGCACATGTTGTAGGTCATACACTTGAGTGATAAAGCTCTGTTAGAAGGAGAGAGGGGAACCCTTCTATTGTCATTAGAACCTAGTGAAAGGGTATTTTTTCTGGTGATGAACTTTGGCCTCAATACGGGTTGCAAACCCATTGACATGATCTGTCTCCAAGTTCTGATGGACCCAGTTGGTTCCTTTCAGTGGCCCCTGTGTGAGCAGAATGGTGGACTAGATGTACCCTTGCCCTGATCCGGCATGGTTCTTATGCTAATTGAAGAAAGGAAAATAGAGATGACTACATGGGAGAGACTATAAACCTCAAGTATCACTGTGATCTCACCATCCTTAGAACAGCATCCAAAAGCCATCTCCTTACACAACATCTTCACAGGCCCATCATTCCCCCTTAGAAGTAACAGCAAGAAGCCGTACAGTTCAAAAAATCCGATTTATGACTGCCCCACAAGCAAAAACTGGAACACCCAGGAGTAACCTCTCAGTCAAAAATGGATAAGTGGCAGCAGAAATGATAACACCCTAACATCATGTTGTTTTTTTTAAATATTCCAATAAGGAATGCCAGATTATGTGTACCTCCTGGGTACTCCTTTAGATTTACTGGCTGATGAAATAGCTAACAGCTGCCCTGCTGGCAGGCACATAGACACACTGAACAGTAAATTACACACAGACACACACACACAATTAAATGTGCACTGTGTGCTGCATAAAAGTCAACATGGGCCCTGCCCAAGCTGCAGTTTCAGCGTGGGAGTGCAGCAAATTGGGCTGGTTGCTGTTTCCTTGGCCAATGGCTTAAAGAAAAGTGCCAGAGATTGCTTGCTGCCCTGTCCTTGCTGTAATAGTCTCCTGGATCACATGAACAGAGGGAGCAGTTTGTTTGCCCAGACAAAACATTTGGAGGGTTCAGGAATGGTGCCTGAGGAGCTAAAGAAATCAAAGCAAGCATATCAAGAATTTTGCTTCCCTATGCAGGCTCAGTTCAGCAACAGGCAGGGGCAGATGCCTCACTATAGTCTGTATGAGGATAAAATGTTGCCATACATTCAGAAATGCAGATAAAATGCTTTAAATACAAGCACCCTTCTTTGTAGTGATGCTGGCATTGGGACAGAGGTGAGGTTTCTCTCCATACACCAAACCAAACTGTCCATTCCTGGTTCCTTTCCAGATTGGCTAAATTAGCATCACTATTTCTTAGCCCTATTTATCCTCATTTCACCTATTTACCTTGCTGTTTCTCATCCCCCCCTAGCCTTTAGGTTTCTTTCTTTCTTTCTCTCCTCTCTAAGACTTTGCTTTCCATTCCTGTGTGCTCAGTGTAGGAAGGAAAACCTGATGCCCTAATGTTTTTCAATTTATTAAACTTTTTTCTTGGAAGTGAAAAAGGGTAAAGAATTATCCAGGCACGTGACTGAAGACCCTGATCTAAACTAGGCTAGTAATTTGGCATTTTGCCGCACCTCCTTTGCCTTTCCCACTGCCCTCTTCGCTTTTAGGTCCGCCTACCGCTAAAATGCAGCCCTCCCTCCGAAGTTTCTCAGAAATGGCATTAAGCCCTGCACTAGAAAATGCTTCTGCACCCTTATTCTGCTTCAACATACTGCTTCTTCAGGGATACCCGTTAGCAGGGCAAGAAAGCAGTGGGACTTCCCCCATCCTGGAATATTCAGTGCCACACTGCTCCTAAAGCTGGAGGCTCAATTTAGCTAACATAGGTAATATCTCCTCCTGAATTTGTCTGTAAACATGAGATAAGGCGAAGGGAAGCAATTGTAATGCTAATGGTATCCCTGCCCCCAGCATGTCTGTTCCCATTCCCGTTTCGTGCGCCTGAAGGCTGGTCCTACGTGCAGAATTTGTTCCATTCTGCGCGGAGCAGCGACACCTAGGGCCGGTCCCATTCCGCAGGGCCAAGCCAGCTCTCCAATCGCGTGCTCCGCAACCTCACCTTACTTTTCTTCCCATCCACCCCGTGTGCGTGTGTGTGCGCGCGTGTGTTTGTACCCTGGGGAGGCGCAGCGATAGTTTGGGATCCTATCGATGGGGGAGAGACCATCTGCATCGCCCCTCCCCAAGGTTTTAAAAGGGAGGGAGTAAACACAGATGAGAACACTTGCTCTTATTTTCGAAGCTGAAGCCTTCCGTGATTAGGAAGCTGCTAAAAGGAGGGCTCGTCAGCCCCGCGGTTACCAGGCGCCAGTCTAATCCGAATCCACCCCTTGCCTTCTTTTCGAGGTCCGCTTAGTTATGGCCAAAACTCCCGCGGTGGTAGAGAAGTGCGGGCTCGGGTTTCCTCGCTCTGCGGAACAGCCGCTCTGTTGCTTGAGCCCCTGGCAGGAGACGGGCAGGCAACAATACCCGCAGCAAGGCGAAGGGCATGCTGGCTGGGGAGGATGGGGCTTGTAGTCCTAGAGCTCTGGAGGGTACCCGGCTGGGAAAGATCATAGGGGGCCAGGGCACCAGCCTCTTGATTAAAGCAACAGCCGTGGCGGCAGCACCAACAACACAACACCATGAGATAAGGTGGTTAACGGCACAATGCAGGCTTGCAGCCGGGCTTCCCGGTTAGGTGGGCAGCCACATTGGTAGGTGGGGCATTCTGCGCGGCGGGGGGACGTGGGCTAGCCCCCGCCACTCCCTACCGGAAAGGAAGTGCTCTGGGAATGGGAAGGGAAAAGGAAAGGCAGGGACCTTTCCCCTCGCTCCTCCTCCACGCAAGAAGCCCGTCTATTTACATATTAGGTTACGCAATAGTTAAGGGAAATTGAATACGAGCACCAGAGAAAGTCTATTTGGAGGCAGTGTAAAAGAAAGAGACTGAAAGGATTGCGTATGTTTAGCCTACAGAAGAGAAGAGAAGACTGAGAGGGGCACTTCTCAGTTATGGCAGAGTGCGGGACATGGAATAACGCGCTCGAGTTACGGGAAACCAGATTCTGGTTAAAGACGTTACAGATTTCCTGTAACTTCTTGACTGTCAGAGCAGGACAAGAACGTAACCAGTTGCTCAGGGCTGTCCCACACTGTGGCCATTCAAGTGGTAGTTCCACAACTATCTGTCAAAATTGCTTTAACCTGCGATCCTGCACTGAGCTCGGATTTGGACTTGATGGACTTAAAAGTCCCTTCCAACTCTACTATCTATGATTCTATAAGCAGCATGTCAAACTCCAGACTCCACCAGCTTTCATGACATTAAAATGTATGCATTCGACTGGAAATGTATATATTCTGGATAATAAGAAAACTGATATTTTGAAGCTTATTGGACTTTTAAAATTCCTGACGCCGATTCCTCTAAAGAGTCTGACTGCAAAACTTGCCTTGATCTGTTCACAACCACCATAGAGAAAAATCCTATTTAATATCCTGTAAATATAGAAGACTGTAGCTATTGAAAGGTCTCCGTTTGGTGATGCTGAGACCAGGATCTATTTTGCAATCCAAAGGCTCAACACTGGAACACGGAGGAGGAGGGGGAGTAATAAAAACAGGAGTGCCCCTGAGCATATACAGAGTTCGCTTGATGGCTTCTTCACAAAGGAAGGCTGGATAGTTTCTTGAGGGCTTTAAACAAAAGCGTCAAACGATCAGGATCCGCACTTCACAAGCCTGGAGGTCTAATTTTAAAAGTGAAGCACTACTGCACGTTGAGATCCATTCGGCAAAGTGATAAAAATGAGCTGCTGCCGCGGAAAAGCCAAGCCTCCTGCTGGAGGCCAACCACTTCTTGCACGTTGTCTCGCTTCGGACCTCGGTCGCCTTTTCCCTGATGCCCCTTCCCTCCGATGAGTGGCTGTTTGCTTTCTTGCCAGCCCCTCCTTCCTTCAATGCGGTTCCGAGGGCGGATCTTTAGATTTCCCGGACACTTCCAAGGCTGCAGTTGAAGACACGGCGAACAAGCACGTAACCCGCGAGCTGCTGATTTCCCTCGGGACTGGAGGACTCCGGGCGCGGGCAGACGGGATCGGCATCTCCGCGCGTCCCCTCGACCCTCGCTCGCCTGCTACGGCCGAGTGTGCCCATAAGCAGCCCCCCGGGGGTCGACTCCGCGCCCTGCAAGTCCCGGAAAGTTACGCACGAGAGGTAGGGGTGGGGGGACGGGAACCGCGATGGTGGGTTGGCTGGTCTAACCCTTACGCGGCACAGGCCAAAACGCTACAAGTGCCGGCTCCATCGCGCGTAGCAGGCTGGGGAAGCGTCGCTTGCCGATTTTCTGTCCAGAGCTGCGCCATCCCATCCACGGAGGCCTTCTGCTCCGTGGCGATCACTCCGATACTGAGTGATCGTCCCGGTTCTTAATATAATTCAGCTCAGTTCTTAATTTAAACACTGTTTTGGTTACCGGCGCGGGAGCACTCAGGGTCGTGCTCTCGGGGTGCGCGTCTGCCTGCTTTTTCTTT